GAGTGCTGGTGTGGTCCTCCCACTCCTCCCACTGATCACTGGGCACTTATCCAGAAGGGGATGGTCCCTGGATCAGTGAAATGGAGATTCAGGAGAAGGGAGACGGAAGTTGAAGAGGGGAAATGAAGACACACTGGCTGTGATACAGAAAATACTTTTACCAGAACAACAACCTCTTGCAAAGAACAGATCCTTTCCCTTAAGAAGATTCACCACCAGGTTGCATTCACTTGCCCAGTTGTCCTGGAGCCCTCACTCCTGGCCATATAAATTTAAATTTATCTTATGAAATATAGTCTTGTCACCCAGGTCATATACGACAAAAATATTTTTTTTAGATAATTTCTACAAAAGCAGTTTTCCTCTTTTATCAAATAATTAAATTATATTCATTAATGAACAGCCATTGATTCTAATACCTGTTCTACATTTATGTCACTACTAAAAAAAAATCACAATATGTTTTAAGCAAACTACATGGGTACTTTATTGACACTAACAAGGTTAATACTGGTGAAGGAATTAGATTGGAAGAAAGTTACACACGTGCATGGCTGAAAGGGGGAGGAAAAAACAAACCAAAGCAAAGTAGTAACTGAAACTAACTGTGAAATGCAGTTAATTGTTCCTCCTGGGAAAAGGGTAAAAACCATGTGAGGAATTACACAGAAAGCCAAACTGCAGTTTCTTCCCAAGTCCTTTGGGTTCAATACACCAGTCAGAGGCATTTCATTACAGTGGCTCTGGAGAGGAAGATATTTAGGATGCTTCAGCATGCTGGGACTGGAGGGGACTTGCTGAATTTCAAGCTGACAGGTTAATGGTAAATAAATAATTTTCTCCTCGGCATTTTCAAATGTGTCCTTGAAATCCAAACACCTTTCTACCATTTGCACTCAGCAGAGATCATGGATAGCTTAGAAATTTGTGATTCAGGATAGTTTCATGCCCAGGATCAAACTGAAAGGCTAAATACATCAGTATTAAATCTGCACTGCTACGCAGAAGGATTTTGAAATGATCAAAATGCAGAAATTATCATACATTTCAGAGATATATATCAACCTGAAACTCTATTTGGTTTTAAGACTTTAAAATTCATGTTTTCATTTTTTCTCCACGACTGTGACTACTTGGAACTTCAGGGCTTTATTAAAAGTACGCGTTGGCAGCATTGACTCTGCTCTCTGCAATTAAGGAATGAGAGGGTAAGGCAACAATCTAAGACTTCCAATGAGAGAATTTACTTATTAAATTTTTCAAAGAGACAACTACAGGCCTTATTTCACCTTGGATAAAAAGTTCAAAGAAAACTGAAACTCAAAGAAAACTTATTCCAGATTGACAGTATTGCTTGGAAGCAAAGTTTGTGACTTCTGGTTTCTAGATCTGAGCAGAAAGAGAAGTACTGTGAGTGCTGCAATGATACACTGCTTTATCTTAAGCACTTTAGTCACCCTGCTGAAACATGTTTTAATACAATCCTGCCTAGCAACATGTTGAGAACTTACTGTCCACACGAGAGTCTGGCAACATAATAAGGAAATCATCATCTTTGAGCTATACCTATGTATGGGAATGTTAGCATAATTTGTTTTGCTTTGACTAGTTTACTAAAAATAACATCTTCTCCCAGAGAAAAGCTCAGCTTCTGGCCGAGTCGAAGGGATAAAAATGTGCTGGTAGTACCAAGAGCAATCAGAAGCAAAGTTTAACAAGCAGTCCTTATCACCATGTATTTCTGTAATAGAATGTTCTGCAGGACAGGTACTGAACTGCAGTTCAGATGGTCTGTACCCCTTTGATTTTTCCACAAAATGAAGAGACTATGAAAGCTCAAATAGTGTCAAGTCTCAGGAACAGCTATGTGAGCCATAAACTGAAAGAATTAATTTAGCATAAATCATTTATTGCATTACAGATGACTGCAAACACAGCAGTTAGATTTTATAAGTGCTTTCAAGAGAAACCAGGTGCCTGAGCTGTCCTTTTCTGCTGTAACACAGTAAACCATTTCCAATACAAATCAGTTTATTTTTACAATAACTTAGCACAGCTCTTACTGCTGAAAGCCATGTAGTAATACATACAAAAAATGTTCAGTAAATAGTGTTCAGGGAACTATAGTGTTAATGTTTGGGAACAAGACAGATTTTATGCCCTTTGTGCCTTTTCAGTTGTTCATCACCCATTTTCCAGAAGAGGCACTGCTGGAGAATGGGAAGGTGACATGATTGAGACCAAAAACTGAACAGGCTCTCTCTTGGTTCACCATTTACTGACCAGCTCACACCTAGTCCAAGTTTTGACTTCCTGTCTCTTTAGGATACATCGGGTCCAGATACTTTCTCACACAGGAACAACATACGTGTAATAAAACAACACAGACTTCTGATGACCAATAACCACCAGACATGCTTTCTTGAACTATGTCAGGTCTTTGTAGCCTGCTTTGTTTACATTCTTCCAATTTTCCTCACATTTGTTTAGTCTCTGCTCCAGCCTCTCTCAATATCCTGTATTACTCATCTCTATTTCCATTCAGTTTAATAACTTGCTCCTCCCCCCCCCCAATTTATTTTTGGTATTACTACATATACTCTTGGAGATTGTGTTTGTGCAAACGGTGGCAAAGAATTTGTCTGTGTCACACAAACTCTTCTGCTGTTTTCAGGGACTTGAGCACTGCAATGGTCTCAAAGGGACCACCTGTAGGAATAAGTATTCACCCATGACAATGGGGTGATAACAATCAGAATCAGTTCTTCCTCAGAACTTTTCATGAACAGGTCTCAGGGTTCTACAGGGGATGTCTCTGTAAGAATAAGGCACATGTATGACTCGACCATTTGCATTTTGTGGGATCTCACCATTCTCTTCAAAGGATGTTCCGTTGCTTGAGATCTAATTAAAATCATCTTACTGTTCAATCAAAACTTTCTTTGCTGAAATGTCAACTAACCAACTATTTCACATCTCGTCACTTGTGGCTAATGAGACCAATTCTGTTCTGTGCTTCTACACGCTGCTAGAAAGCAAGCTGTGGAAACCCCCCCCAGCAACTCTAATTGCAGACCTACACAAATTATCACAACAGTTAATTACTGAATTCTCCACAACTCAATTGCACTTCCCATTGAGGAATCTCTGAGTGCCTTGGAAGTGTTAGCATGCTTAATATAAACAACCTGACGTGCCATGGGTTACTGTCAGCCTCATCCTGTGAAGGAAGGTGAGCCCCACCACTGCTCACAGTCCCCATTGCCTTCCCACAAGGCCTTCCTACTTATGTGTGTAGCATTATGGCTTACTAAGCAGAGAATTTTAAAGAAACAAGTATATTTTATTTCTTTAAACTATAAATCCAAGATAAAACACTGAATATATCTCACTGGAGATGTTGATATAGACACAGATGTTCAATGTTGAAATATGTCTATCCTTTGTGCATTTATTTCCCTGGCCTTAGATATGTTCATATTACAGACCAGCTGCTATGAAAGATAAAAAAGAGGGAGCCTCAACAGATAACATTTTCCTTCCTGTGCTCCTATAAAAGGTCTATGATTCCTTCTTTCAAGTATTTCTTTGAGAACTGGTAAGACTGGAAGGTGTCCCTGTATGAAGTGCTCCTGGATTTTTCTAGAGACTTGGGTAGTGATCTGTCCTTCAGGCAGAATCAGGCCTTGAGGAGGATTTAGCAAATCCCAACTGACTGAAAATGAAGGAACGCTCTGAGAATACAGTCCAGTGTTGTTTAACTGGTTCTCCTCTGTAGAAAGAGAACCTGAGCCTAGGACAATTCAAAGCACTTAATTCCTGTCACTTCTTCCAGTTTCGTATCCCCCTTTCTTTCATCAAAAACAACATCAGCACAAAATTACAGCACCAGGAAATGCACTGAAGTCACACTATCACATGTTATACTGGACAAAAAAAAATGGTCCAAGGCAATGATGGTTAAGCCTACATTTCTGCTGTTTCACTCATAAAATAGTCTCCTCTTCTGTGAATTGTAAGGAGATATCGTTGGTAGTCATCGCTATTTCCTGTAATAACTATTTTGCCTGTTTCCTTTAATTTCCCCAATTCAGTCTTCTAAATTTTGCCCAGAATAAAACCTTGTAAAAGCACATTAATGAAATGCCTCATTAGCTGCTTTGTTTCGTTACTTCTGCCTTGGCAGTGCCTCTTGGAACTCCAAGTACAGAAACAGTAGTGCCCCAATTGTGAAGGACTTCGAAATGCTCTGCATGAAGGCAATCTTAAGAGTTCAGCTCTGAAACTGCAACCTCTACTTGTGACCAGATCTGTTATGCTTAGCAGTGCTTCATCAGAAAATGATATAAATTGTTTGTTTTTCCACTGAGTTTAAGTATTTTTAGATTAGTTTAAAATACACACATGAAAACAACATGTGAATACACTCAAGGAAACAGTTTCAGCTGACTCAACCTTAGAGCTGTAGTGTAGAACAAACAAAATGATGTCATTTTCTAAAAAAAAAGCATAATTTCTGGTTTACAAAACCTTGGTAAAAAAGATGGGCAGTTTTAACTCATATTTTATTCGCCTTCTCAATGCACTGCAATAAACTTGAGATTAAAAGCATTGCTCTAAGTATGTTTATCTTACTTTAGATTAAATTGAACAAATAGATACAGAAATACGTTTTCCCCTTTTCTAAATCACTAAGATACAAAAAATATTCACTGTTAGATTTCATGTTTCCTCCTTCATCTTGCAAGGACTCTCATTACTGAGACAATAGGCTTGGATTATTGGTTATATTGTCACATTTTCTTTTTACAGAATAGTCTGTCTTCAGACAGGATAGAATATAACATAGAGCAAAAGAACAACCTTTTGTCAACCTGTAATTATGTACTTGCAGAGATCTAAAGAGCAATGCTCTTTCTTGGAATCTGACTGATGATTTCAACAAGCTTAACTGTTGTAGAGATATGTAAGTTATTTTAAGAATAAAAACAATGTCTTACTTGGTCCTCAAAGGAGATTGCCTGGGCAACATCTCTGGGAAATCCATCAATCACTATCCCCTCTTCATCAGGGATCTGCATTAATCTCTGCTTTATCTCAGTTATGGTTGTTTCCTTTCACAGAGAAAAGAAGTGGTTTATTCAGTATTGTAAAGGAAGTTTTCTTGCTGGTGCACATTAACACAGCACGTACAAATCCTGGAAAGCAAACATGAACACAGGGAACGCTCTACCTGAGGGGCCAGTTCTCCAGTGGTAATTATTTTGGCAATTAGGCTCCATTTCCTATTGCTGCTCGTGCTGTGGATCTTCTTCCTCAGCAGTTCCCCAACTGAGATGTAGTTAAATCCGTAACGTTCTGCTATTTTCAAACTCTGGGTTCCTTTACCACTTCCTGGGCCACCTATTGGGAATTATAAGCAAAACATTAAATTAACCTTTCACCTGAAGAACCCGATCACACGGGAAATCTTTGCTGTGGGCACCAATTTTCCAACCATTATTAGAGTAAATCTTGCCCTTGCATGACCTGTTACCAGCCACTGGAAATCTGTCTCATCTACCAGATCATAAAGTTTGCAATGTGAAGTTAAAAAAAAAAAAACAAAACAAACCTAGTTGCAAAATAAAAACAAATGCACTCTTTTAGGCTTGACCTCATTCTAAAGCTGCTCCTGGAACAGAGTTTTTCTTGATCTGTACTAGAGGAACAGAAAATGAACTTTTCCCTTCTTGAATTCTATTCTGGCAGAGTCAGATAGTCTGAACCGTATTCATGTCAGAAAGAATCATACCTTCTTAAATAAGCCAATTAAATCAGTGGACTAGTCATGAAATGAAACTAATAAAATCTGCTCCTAAACATGCTTGCATGAGTTTCTGAGGTTTTCTAATTTTACAACACAGAAAAATATTAAATAATCAGCTGAGATGTTTCCATAGTGATTTGGTACAAAGACTTTTATTGAACCATGCGTAGTTCTGGTATTGATGCTTGAAGCACCTGCCAGAGAAGCAGTTTGGTGGGTTCAGCTTGCTGGACAACTTGAAGAGACCCTTCAATAGATATAATACAGGCCAAAGGGGTATCAAAATCACAGCAAACAGCTACATTACACCGGAGGCAAAGCTGAAGTGAAGGTCAGCTGGACAGCAGAAGCAAGAATGCCTGTAAAACAATCAGACCATATCTGAAGTAAAAGGAAATGTCATGATGTGATGAACAGAGAATCTGGAATCCAGTCTGTAAAACCAGGGAATAAAAATAACTGTTTATATTTAGAAAAGTGTATGCTACTGGACAGTATAACCAAGCAAACCCCAACCAAATTGTTTGGTAATAGTTCCCAGCACTAAGTAGCTATAGTTTGGGGAATTCCGTGGGAGAACATGGAATTTTATTTCAACAGACAAAGAATTAAGATTAAAAATATAAAATTTCTATGAACTTCAAAAAATACGGCAACGCAATGAAAGTAAATATGAATACACTGAGCTTCTTGTAAGTAATCATGTAACTCTTTAACATATTCTCTGTATTATTCCCATAAATAGCCTTTAGGCATTTCTATAATTAATACAATTTTGGCTCCAGGATAAACTGTACAATTATTTCTACTCATGGCCCTCTCTGTGTGAGCAGGTCCAGCCCTGTGCTCCGGCATCACTGTCAGAGAGCTTCCAGTGCCACCAGCAGCCAGCAGGAGCCCTCTGTGCCCCCACACTGCAGTGCCAGTGCTCCACCTGCCCTCTGCAACTCAGAGCAGGACCCGCTGGAAGAGAATGCCCAGAGAAATGTGCACATTGTCCAAGTGTTCCCCCCCCTGCCCCCAGATCACTAATGCCCTTGGGAAAAAAAAAGGTTTGATCATTATCCAATAATGCTTCTACAAGCATTTATCTGTAACATCCAGCCAGTCACCACAACTATAGACATTTATAAAACACACAAGCAAAGGAAAGAAGGAAAAGCTGGATCTTATCTCGGTACAGCAAGGTCACAATGGAAAATGTTTTTCCCTCATTCCGTTCACTCGGTGTTTCTGTCGTACAAAGCCATATGTTTCTCTCTTCTTTAAGAGAAACAAAAATGCAAAGCATATACCGGTAATGTGTAGAAAACTAGAAACAGAAAAACTGACAACAAGGTAAACAAGCACTCGTGTTCCCACAGAGAGGCCAAAGACGCCAGAAAAACAAAACTGACACTTGAAAAAACATCAGCCTGTAAAAGCATAAAGTAGCTGAAAAAAACCTGCTTGAAACAAGTAGATGGACTTCACACCCCAGTTAGGGAGAGCTTTGCTTTGTCATTAAAGAGAAGCAGGAAAAAAAAAATACTTTGGCACTTCCGTTCTTTCAATTTGAATTGCAATCAGAAAATAGCTAATGAAGTATTTGCTTTAATGTCCATAAACTTCTCACACAGTTTGTTCTTCTCGGTCCAAATATATCCCTCTATAGCACGCTGGGATTATCCATTTACATTCTGAGGGAAAACATTCAGGTAATAAAATAAGGGAAAAGGGATAGGACAAAATTACTTCCTACAGCAAATCATTATAATTTATTGAATGATGTATCCATTCCTGATTCTTTGATAAATCACACTGACAAACTCTTCAGAAGAAAGGAAAATCAAATCACTTCTGGTTTTTGTTCTTTTCACTTATTCTGATTATGCATTATGCAAGAAGAGTGTGATTATTTTACATATTTCTAGAAGATGTCTAGACTAGGGAACATTTGTTGCATCTAAAATTATGTTTGCTAATGGGTCTCAAGTGAAGATTTGTATGCAGAAAAAGTTTTACTGAAGCGGTCGTTTCAATCTGTCAACAGCAGTTCAAAATTTCAATTTTGTTGTAAATTCAGAATAAATTCACCTAATAATAAGATTTCTGTAAATATTCTTGACTTTAAAATCTAGCTGTGGACTGGATTTAACAAATCAATAGGCAGCTACTTGCTGTCTCAAAGCACTGTCTTTGATCTAGCCTTTAAACTTCGATCACAAAAGGAAAGTGTATTCTTTTAACATGCAGGTTTTTAACAAATGCAGCTAAAAACCACACTGAACTAAGGTGCTAATGACACCAGGTCATTAATATTTTAAGATCTCTAAATCCAGGCTGCATCACTAGTAAAAATGTGTTTGTTAAAGTATATTAGGAAGCACATTTTTAAACACAATCTGGTTTTGCCTTAGAAACTTAATTTTTCCAGTGATTCAGCTGTGTACCACCCAGGCAGGTTCCACTTGACTTTTCTAAAATCCAGTCACACACTCCGTTTGCAGCTTTGCAGATCTCCCTCTCAGCAGAGGTCTCTTCTGCAAACCCAGAGAAAGAACAAAACCCCCACCTTCCTGAGTGAGTTCTCTTTTGCCCTGGAGCTACCTGGTTCATTGTAAGGATGACAGATTTCATAAAGCAAAGAAGTTGTAAAAACCTTTATGGAAGCATTAAAAAGATCCTGGGCTAATGCATTAATAAAGAAAAGTTCACCTAATATGCGAAGCAGAAGACAGGTCTTTAACTTCATTTCAGTCCCTAACAGTGAATGGGGCCAGTACAACCTGAGCTAGGCAAGATGATTAGTTATCACTAATTTGACATAAATTTGTTGCTTAACTGAATTTCTTGTTGCCATTTCATACAAAATGGAAAACATGCAACACATTTTTTGCGTGCCATACTTGCCTCTTGAAATGAATAGTACACTTTTTTCTTTTTTCCTCTTTTATTTGGTATATCAGTTATTCTTTTATTCATTCCAGTGTGTGTTTTTATGTGCTTTCTCAATGGCAAGTCGAATCTGGGAGGAGAAATTTTCTTGGTACTGTACAAAAATGTTCAATAGCTGCTATGCCACACACGGCACCGTGTTTCCATCAGATCACACCGTAATAGATTCAGAGGAACTCAGGGGGAATATAAACCTGAAACAGCCTTTGTGGAATGTTTACAACGTTCCCTATATAAATGGGAGGAAAGCAAAGCTCTGTAAAACCCGTGGTCTGTTCACTACACGCTGGAGCTCAAGGATTCCACTTCAAATGCACCTGCACTGAGTTCCAGAGGTGAAAGCCAATCTCTCTTTATCTCCCCGAAATCAAACCATCATTCATCACTCCACTGCCATTGAGCTACACGGATTTCAATGCATTAAGAGCCTTCTGTGGTCACTGAAAAGGAGCCAGTTCCTCTCCTTTATGAAAAGGACGGCTGGCTAATTAATTGGGATGAAAGAAAGGTATGGGTTATTCCTCCACCTAATTGCAACCTTTATAGTTCAGCGGGGCGTGGAGAGATTTGCACGTCGAGATCTGTAATTCTGAAACAAAAGATTTAAGAAAATTCAAATGCCCTAAGCAATTCCTTTGGCATCCTACAAATATCTAGAAAAATGCCAGGTTTTCTGTTTTTAATATGTTCCAGTAGCTCATTTCTGAGAACTGCTGGATGCAGAGCCCAGAGGACACGCTGTTCTTAGAGAGTCCACTCTGTAGTACAGAGAAGACATTTCTGCTCCTTTTTACTACACCATTCTTTGTTATGGAAGCAGTATCTCTCTTTACTAAAAATAAAGCTTTATAGACTAAAAATGCAATTGTCCATCACCTGGCACCTGTGCTGTAACTCTTTAAACCATTCAGAGCATTAGGCCTGGCAGTAAAATTTCTGAAGAAAACTATCGCAGACGACAAGGAAAACTAGTTCAAAGAACTTCAGTTCAAAAACAGAATAAAACATTGATTTAGACTTAATCTGCAGCTATTTTTTAATAACTTATGCTTGTCTGAGGCTGGAAAGTACAAGTTGCTTAGAAAGGACACTGAACTGCTCACAAGAGAGAATGTGGGGAGAAAGCACAACTAGCTAATGCCAACTGAGTGCTCACCGTCCATGAAGTTGGCACAGGATTCTTTTGCCAACTAGATGTAGGGATTAATTTATCAGTGCAAAGGATTAGTGACGGTGTGTGCTCACTCCAGCTGCACATACTGACCACTTGTCGGGGTTCTAAACACAGATGACAACAGTTCCCTATCACCTGTGTGAGCTGGCTTATCCAATGTTTTGAAATACCTTTTTTTGTGCTCAGCTTTGAATGTACCTATAACAGTGTTCCAGTTCAATCCGGGGCGTGCCTTGGAAGAGCACTTGGTTCACGTGGTGTTGCTGTCTCAAAATGCGTGAGCCAGGTTTAGTTAAGACCAAATCAAACTGGCAGATGTGCTCCATAACCAAACCATGAGCTCTCCAGCAGCCAACAGGCATCCAGGTTACAGAACAGAACTGCAGGTGCTCGCTGTCACCCCTGAAACTCTTACAGCTGGGATGCTACATCCTCAGTAGCAATGATTTCACGCTCTGAACTGGGCTGCACGACTTGCTAGGGCAGATGGAAAAAATCGTGTTTGGATTCATACAGGCATTCATTGGATTTGCAGTACAAACCAAAAGGCAAAGTAACAGAGAGAAAATCGTGTAGAAACGACTGCTTTCGTACCTATGACAAGGATAATCTTCGGTCGAGGTCTGGCAGGGTCAAACACATCGTACTCCTCAATCAGCTCCGCCGTTTCCGAGAGGTCGGTGTCGCTTTCGATGGAGAACTGTTGGATGGGAGGGAGTCTGTCATAGCGGCGGTATGGGAAGTTGGAATTATCAGGCAGCACTGTAAAACAGTGAGACACACTGGAAATTGCAGAAATAGGCAGAAAACTCAAAATCTGTTGTGTACACAGATTTAAATCAGTATATCTCATAATTTCACACTGCGTTTGCTGTCGCTATATTAAATACTCCTTGCCTCTATTTAGCTGATTTATTAAATTGCAAGCACTCAGAGTCGGTTTCCTCTGGAGTTTCTTTACAAGCACATCAGGTTTGCTGTGAACATCTGCCCGTAGCACCCAGAGTTCAGCAGTGGCCTGTGAGAAGAAAAGCTTTGTATTGTGCAGATAACCTGTACCACTAAGCAGGACTCCTCTGGTGACACATGCTGCCCACAGATGTAGAGACAGTATTCCTGCTAATTAGTTAAATGAAACGCTGCATGGCAAGGAAGAATAACTATGGCAACTGAAAGATGAGCTAATTACTCTTTGTTAACGTTACAAATAAAATAATTACAGGTATTGGTATGACATCTGCTTAGATTTTATGAGATGCACCTTTTTCTAAGAGCTTATAATTCGCATCATATTTAGTAATTAGCGTATAGCTTCAATATAAACTAGAAAAACCACTCAGTGTAACTGCACTGACATTGGTACGTATGTCATCCATAAGAACCAAATAAAAATAAAAGCCAAGTGCACTGATTCAGCTCTGCCCCTCTCTTTACAAATGTTTGAAGTAGGTTACAAGAAATCTCTCCACTAATGTCTTAAACGTTCACACAGCGTACATCCATCACTTGGCTGCAAAGTGATCACAATTTCCTCTCCTGCCTAGCATCTGCTATGGAAGGAGAAAAACAAAGGCCAAAATGCAAGGAAATAGAATTCTTGACTCCTTTGCCCACGGAAAATCAGAGCGAGGCATGATCTGCTACAAAATAATTCAGCAGTGGATGTAAAACTACACACAGCACAAGAAATATAATCATTTTTACATTTAATACATTACCATTCCTGAGAAAAGACCTCCTGGGTTGTCCTCCATTGAGTGGAGGCAGGGTCTTCTTTTCTGGGCTGACAAAAGTGTCCCATTTCACTTTTTCTGGCCCTCCAAGCTCTTTTACTTTCTGCAAACAGCTTTCCAAATATTCAATTGGGTCATCGGGCTTGTAGCACATTAATCCATTCAACAGACTCTGAAACGTAAGACCAGAAATACACACTATAATGGCAGGTGCCAGGAAAAAAACAGGCACTTTTGCTTTGCCCTTTACTTTCCACAGAGAAGGCCCACATTCCTTGTGTATTCACACTCTCCATTTCAAGCCAACGCATAAAACCAAGGCCTGCAAAAATCGTACCATTTTGGTTTGCCAATGTCATAAAAATTGCCTGGAACAGGAAGCCCATGGCTATGTCTTTATATTTGTCTGTTTGCATGTAATAAAACCTGAGAATAGCAAAAAACCCTCTATATTTTTCTTAGAACAACCACTGCCAAGTACAAGCAGAGCAATGCCCAAGCTAGAGAGCCCCAAAAGTTACATATTCTTTGTAGACTTCGACCTCACTAATATGTATCTTTTCCTTAAAGACCAGTGCACTCACAAGTATCTCATCCATATTCTTGTCAACACACAAGCAATGAAAAAAAAGGTTTTTAAAAATCATGAGAAATACTCAAATATCATCTTGATCAGTATTGGGAAAAAATCCCCAACCCACACCCCCAAAATTCATAGGTGGTTCCTGATTTAATTGATCAGGAATCCAAAGCCATTAGAAATCCTCTCTCTAGAGTATTAATTCTGCACCCATCGTAGCCATGAGCATTGTGGGCAGCGTGGAGGAAGGGTTGCCAGGCCCTCCTCCGACGCATGGTAATTGATTTTCCTTGACAAGGTGATACAGAAGTCATCATCTCACCTCTGCACAAGAGCACTGCATCCAACCTTCCCTTAACGAGAAGTGTCTTTCGGGATGATTCCTGTTCCTTTGTGCTCTTCCTAATTTTTGTGTGAATAAACTTGACAGTTATAGCTGGTATTAATAGTAAACACACATAGCTCCAATTCAGGACTTGCTCAGTTGTTATCTACAGTTTATACAGTGACTGCTATTTACACACATTTGAACTTATAAAATAGGATATAATTTCCGTGCATCTGTGCCCTTACTATACTACTTAACTGATCACAGCAACTAGCCACGTATTTGTGCAGAACATATGCACCAATTTTTAAAAATCTCTAGCTCAAGCTTGGAGCCTCTACAGAAAACCAGTTCTGCCTGCATCTCTTGTTAAACCATTCACACTCGAGCTGTGTTATTAAAACATTAGCGTGGTCTGCGTCCCGTAATTTTCAAATACACAGAAAAACGCCTAGCTTCAGCACAGACAAGGGAAAACACATACGTGCCTGTGTGTGTCATATAGATTTACAGGATGTCTGACTCGGAGACAAAAAAAATCCACGCTGCACAGCGAAGTAACCACCAGCCATCAGCGGCAGGTAACTTGCGGGAAGCTAAACAAAACCTCGCTGAACAGTTGCGGCTTCTTGCCTTCCCCCAGACCGAGGGGTGATGCCCCCGCCCGCATTCCCGGGCGCTCCTTTTGCCCAAGTTCTCTCGCCCGCCGGCGGCGCGGGGCAGGCGCGGGGGCTCCGCGGGTGAGCGGCGGGCAGCGCCCACCCTGCCGGGGCTGCACGGACCGCGCACGGACCCGCAGCGCCGCCGCCCCGTCCTTCCAGCCACCTTCAGCCCCCCCTGCCCGCCGCGGGGTCCCGGCGCCGAGCACCGCCCGACGGGGCGGAAAACGCCGCCACACACACACGGACACACAGACACACACACGCACCGCCGTACCTCGAAAAGCTGCGGGATCTCCCTGCGGGCCAGGTACTCCTTGGCCTCGCCGGCGCTCATTCCGCCAGCCGGGGCCGGGGGCGCCGGCGGGGCAGCCTGAGCCCCGCGCTCGGCTCGGCGCGGCGGTGCAATGCGGGAGCCTGGGCGAGGAGGAGCAGGCAGGCAGCAGGGAGGCAGTAGGCAGGCAGCAGTCAAGCAGAAGGGAGGCAGCAGGCAGGCAGCCGCCCGCCCCCCGGCCCCGCTGCACGGAGGGAGCGGGAGCACGTTTCCCCCGGCGGGGAGGGGCAGCGTGCGCAGCCCGCCGCCGAAAGTTTGGGGGTGCCCGCGGGGTGACAGCGGGCGGGGGCGGCGAGGGGCTGTGCCTGGCGAGGGGCTGTGCCTGGCGAGGGGCTGTGCCTGGCGCTGTGCCCGGCGAGGGGCCGTGCTTGGGGCTGTGCCCGGCTGTGCGGAGCCGCGGGCGGGCTGCCCCGGCGTCGAGCGCACCCGCTCCCGGGCTGCGCTGCGGGGAGGGCTGGGCGCTGGTGAAGCTTCCCGGTATAACGCGGTGTCTGCCCTTGGCAGGGTTTTCTGGCGTTTTGAAGAGCGAGACGTTTCGTACACTTTGGGCTGGCGAACGGCTACGAGCTACGATCAGTCATGAGCATCTGTGATCTGTGATCGGCGGGTCATGGAAGAGACCTGGAATCATCTCTGGTGCAGCCTCCTGCTCAGGGCAAGGGCAGCTCTTGGGGTCAGACCAGGTTGCTCAGGGCTTTTATCTGGTCTCGTCTTGCAAAACCTCCGAGGATGGAGACTGAAGAGCTTATCAGAATAACCCGTGCTTGGCTGGCCTCGAGGTGGAAAAGGGTTTCCATCTATTGAGTTAGCACCTCCCATGTTTCAGTTTGTCTCTTGCCCACCATTGCACCACTGTGAAGAGCCTGGCTCCGTTTTCATGACAACCTCCTATCAGGTCTTGGAGGGCTGCTATGATGTGCCCTCTAAGCCTGCCACAGGCTGAACAAGCCCAGTTCCCTCTGCCTGTCCTCAAGGACAAGTCTCTCATCCCCGACCATCTTTGTTGATCTCCGCTCAACTGACTCCAGTTTATCAGCATCTCTCTTTTATTGGGGAGCCCAAACCAGGGTGCACTATTCTCCATCTCCTCTGAGCAGTGCTAAGGAGGGGTTATCACTGATACTCTGTTAGTCCCTGATACTCTGTAACACACTGGAAGTCAGAGTAGATTGTTTCAGTTGCCGAACTGTCCTCTGTCAAGTCTGATGTTCCAATTAGATTTTAATTTTATTTTCTTTTCTAACACAAGATCCTTGTAGTCCCGCTGGGGCACACCCTAACAGAAATAGGTTACAGTCACTGCAAACTTACAAACAACGCTGAACAACTGCTTTCCTATTTCCGTATTTTTCAGTCATAGGATAGGTCTTCTCGGGAGCCTTTGAAGAAGCTTCTCCTTGTATGTGATTTGTGGCTCAATATCAGTTTGAAAAACTGATGCCCTCTCAGCTGCAGCCCCGGTCCTTGTTTTGCTGCTTCTGTAGCTGAACTGCCCTCTTTTTCCTCAGCCAGCCCTCCAGCTTTTTATGGAGGCACTTCCCTTTCTCCCAGAGAATCTCCCAGTCCTTGTTCATTCCACAAAAGGCCCAGCACTTTGTCTCATGGGAGACAGTCCCATGATCTTCTTGGGACAACTTGGGCTGGTTGGCTTTCTAAGTCATCCAGTGCATTGACGCTTCTCGTACGTTTAAGGAATAGTTTAGTCTTTGCTGGAGACTTTAATCAGCATTCACCTGCAGACTTCCTCATCCTCCCATAAAATCTGGATGTGACTTTAACCCTCCTGTCTTCTGCTGTGATTTTAATGCATCCAAATGTAAATCCATTGAAAAGCACAGTACCTTAATTTTGGTTGAGTAAAAAATAGAGTAGGCTCCAGTGTCCTAATCAAAGGATGTAATTGCTTTTAAAAGACCTTAAATGAAGCTTGACAAGAGGAAGACGGAATGAAATTAAATAGATATTTTCTTAAAAGAATGTCTTTCCTAAGGAAAGAGGGCTTATGGAAGATGCCATTCTATTTAGGCAGACAGAGCTGTGGTTTTGGCGTTTTGTGGGTTTAACTTGTTTGTTTCTTTATCCAAACAAATTCATCTGTATTATCGTCTCAGATAAATTCCATTTATAGGTTTTCAGCGTACATAGTTTTATATATTCAGCATTTATGGATACATTAGTAGCTCTTCCAACATCCTGGTTTGGTAAGAGAAAAATATTTCCTTTCACATGCTTCCTCAGGAATGTGAAAAATTTTTGTGTAAGGTCTTGTCCTACTTGTTGGTTTTTTACTGTAGGCTCCCAGGCATTTTGCTCAGTTAGATAATGCCAGCAGAAAATAAAAACCTGTAATTGTTCTGCCACAAAACTCTTCTCATTATGAACATCTAAATTATTGTTCAAGAAAAGAGGGATCACTTTGGTGAGACTTCTCCCACGTCCTACCTTTTCTGGAGGGGCAGAAGCTACAGTAGGAAGAACAAAATTTTGCTATCAAAGTGATAATATTTCTGAAAATCCATCTTGAAGACTTCTCGTGGATCCTGTACCATCGGGCTGATTCCATTCTCGTTCTTCTTCTTTCCTCCAGGAGCTACGTGAAGCTGCACTGATATGAAATTAGTATGGGATCAGCTGGAATATGGTGTTCTGGGCCTTCTATTCTTCTTGGTTAAACCAATTTCCTCACACCCATAGCCTTCAGTCAAAGCCTAATTAGGTTCCATGTTTTCAAAAATCACTTCAGAATACCCCAGTGTTTTATAAACGTTTATTTTTTTTGTCTAGTGCCTGTTCAAGCACTACTGGCTGGCATTTGTCACACGAGTTGCTGCTCTGCTTGGTGTCTTTATTAAATCAGAACCCCTGTCCTTGGATTGATGTGCTTGCACAGGCTGATATGTGGACGGTTTGAATTTGTAGATTCTGCGAGTAAAACAATTATAGGTAGCCTTTGTAATAGAATACGCTGAATTATATGCTTCTGATCCAGAAATAATATGCATTTTAGTGTAAATTCAGAACTTACTTGCAGCCCCATATGTTAGTCCAGCATTGCTAAAACGATCTTTACATTGTAATGAGAAATCCATTTCTGAACTCTTTCACTACAGTGTTGTTAACTTTTTTTTAAACCTGGTGTTTTCCCTCCCCTTTCTTTTCCACTCTGATAGACCTGTTTTCCTTTTCTACTGATACCCAAACAGGTTACTGAAGTGAATTAACTCACTAATTGAAAGGTAGTGAAAAATCTACCTGGAAAAATCTGATCTCTGGATCTAGATTTCACTAAATCCCAGAATTACTATTTCATGTAACTTTTGAGGACACCAAGATGAATGGAACATGGGAGGGAAGGAAGAATATTGTGCTGCCTAAAAGTTGGAGGATATATATTTCAATCTGCTTAGAAGAAAAATATTTTAAAAAAATGTTATGGTCAAGTCACTCTTTGTTATGATAAACTAAATAGCTGTAATTTTCTTTCTTTCTTTTTTTTTTTTTTTATATTTTTGGTAACCAATACAGTGATTTTATTTTTTTTTATAATCAATACAACTGTTATACAGCACATGGCCAAAAGACATTTCCCATGGAACCAAAACTCACGTAATATTTCCCATTTCCTTTTCTTCACTTTGGAGACCAGTCAATTAGTTATTAAATAAATGTTTATTAATTTTGATTCACTCAGGCTTCCTAAAGGGAATCCTAAAGAAAATATCCTGCAGTAGTAAATAAATGCCATCAGATCAGCACTTTTTTTCTTCATCAGCCAAAACAAAGTATCTGCATAGATCTGAGAGGATCCATTTTTCAAAAACTGGCATTAATTAAATTAATCAAACTATATTCCAGTATGTTCTTATGAGTTCTGTTTTTTCACTGAGTTCCACGTTAGGTAGCCAGGCCTATAATTCCCTGTGCCACCACCCTTAGAAAGTGCTGGTCCAGCACATTCCCAGAATGTAAATATTTCAAGGGTTCTTAGAGGCCCTTTCCAGCTTTTCCCTTTCTTATCCTTTCCAGCTGTTTTAAAACTCCAATTCAGCTTATCCAAATATGCAGATTTACTCAGTTATTTTTAGGGACTACTGTTTATAAAATTTACTTGACTACAATTGAAATGGAGAATGTTTCATCATCGTGCTGTGGTATAATTACATCATCTCATCATTTATATACAGGACAGAAATATTTGGTGAAGTCTTCCAATTTCTTTTGATAAATCATGCAAGCATATTCCAATAATATTGTTTGGATCCTTTTCTTTTTTCTCTTCAGAAAAACAACTCTTTTAAATGCTGTTGCACCACTCTTACCGTTGGCTTTTTATGTCATTTTTTTTCCCTTCTCATTTTTTCTTAAACCTCTCACACATATTTCTTGCAGCTCCTAGTGCTTGCAATGGATGGGTTTTTTATTCTTATGTATCTTTATTCTCAAGGCAAATTGCTGCACTTTTTTTCCTGTTTTGTTAACACTTAAATAATTCCCAATTATCATGCACAATTTTGTACTTAAATCTTTATATAATAATTAGATAGTATGAGGATATTGTACAGTGCTCTGTAACTTAATAAATTCAAGGTTGCCACTTCAGGAAGTCCTCGAGTTTCTGAGGGATAAAGGGCAGGGGATCCCGTGGAGGTTTTCCTTGTCCCCAGGGCAGCTGATCTCTGCTGGTAGGAACTCAGACTGAGGGCTCACACAGACTTCCAGTCGGAGCCATCCCAGCTTCTTGATGCTTTTTGCTTTTATTTTAGGGCAGTTACACTGAAATCCTCACTCTCCCCTCATTGTTATGGAAATTGCTTTTTGTGAGGATTATTTATATCTCTCAGTTACCATTTTTCAGTAACTGATTAATAAACAGTCCAAATCAATGGTTACTGAATTTTCAGCAACTTAGAAATCCAGGGTGACTTTTTTCCAAGGAAGACTTAATTTCCCTGCCTTTTCATCTTAAGGATCCAACCACAGATTTTAAGGTTCTAATCTATGAATTGTCCCCAGATAAGAATTTCAGTTCATCTGGTTTATTCTTTATGAGCTAAAGGGAGTTTGTGTAGCTGGAGGGGGGGAAAAAAACCTCCACAAAGAAACACAGCAAAATTCAGTTAATAAAATAGGCTTGAACTGAATAATGACTTGTGGGTGGTGGAAACAGAAAAGAATGCAAGCACAGCTATTAAACCTCATCTTGGGAACACTGTGGAGCTCCAGACTGTTGGAAGGTGCAAGTCC